ACACGCCATGGCGACGAAGGAAAGTCGCTGTTCAAAGCATCTGGTTAACCAGTTGCCCTTAGTACAATCCGTTCGACACTGGAGTCTATCCTCGCGTAGCCTTGATTTCCAGAAAGGAGCGAGGGTCTGTTTAGAGCTCCTCAAGACACCGTCTTCCAAAAAAAGGCGGCCACCTCAACCCGTTCAGCATTTATTTTCGTTTTTCCTTTATCATTTACATCCGGAGAGCAGAACTTATGGCTATTAATGTCACTAATAGCTACACTCGTTATCCATGACACGAAGTAGGCGTATGAATAGAATAGAATGGGTTACTCGTGCGATATTCCAGTTTGAGAGAGACAACTATCATCTTGGCAGGGCACATCATTAGCTGGTCATGGAGCTGTCGAGGGAGCCGAGCGAGGAGGGAGGGGTGTAGAGCGGCAAAAATCACGAAGAAAATATAACCCCTCTACCATTTCTTAGTTTTTTTAAAAATTTTCCCTACTTCTTACCACTTTTTCCCAATATCCGGAATTTCCCGAAAATTTTCCTTCTTTTTCCCAAAATGCTGCTGTCGAGCGGGGGATGGGGGAATCACGAAAAGTCAGCAACCAGAAGGTCAGAAGGCGAATACGGCCTCTCTCCCAACAACGAGCAACTACGACCCCCTTCCTTACAAGTTCCCTGAAACAAGAGGAAAAGAAAAATCAACTATCAAAAAAATTTCTATCCTCAAATACGACCCCCTCCCCCAGCGACCCAATACGACACCCCGCCCCCACTTTTGGGGATTCCCAACAACAACGATGTGCCCTGCATCTTGGTCAGAGGTATTACTGCAATTTCGGAATGAAAATATCTCATCAAAAGCACACCCTCTACATTACATAAATCCGAAGAACAGATTAGGATTGAATACTAACGACATATGTAACAAGTAACACATGAAATCATACAGGGTTTGGCAGAGTCTAGCTTTAGTTCAACAAATTTTCTAACGTACTGTAGCTTTACGGTACTGGATGTTTCGTATCAGTTTCTCACATGAAAGCTCTCTGAGCTTAGATTTTTTTGCGTTACCATCTCGAGTGGCAGATAATCTTAGTGGCCCAAGTCTTCCAAGCTAAAAGGCATGCTCCATGTCCATTTGTACCCTTACTTCAGACCCTTACTTTGAATATGATGGTGCGCACCGCACCGCAAGTACAAAGGACGTATCACTTTCGCAGCTCCAAAATTTTTGAGCAAAGGGCGACCCGCTCACGACAAGGGCGATGCCCCACCCATTGCCGAATTCCGCACAGGGTACAGCATCGTGATGTGTGGAATGGTGGTGCCAGTACGACCGCCCCCCTGTTGAGAGAGGCTTGGTACCACCCCCCACCCTCCTAAATCAGGGGTATCTGGTATTCTGGACTGCCGCCCCCCCTTCCCAGGGCACCTTTACACTCCCTATCCTCAAGCCAGAGTAGGCGTGGCATTTGAACATGGCACGGAATTGCTTCCTCATGGAATATTCCAGTCTGGGACAACTTTCATCTTGTCTGTGTAAAGAGACACGAAAACAATTGTGTCAAGATGGAAATATCTCACCAGAGGCATAGACACATTGAGGTTACGTTGAAGCATTCGGCCACGCCCACCCTATCTCAGGGATTTCGAGTATACCTACCAATTTCCCCCAGTTTTCCAGTTTCTCACTCACCGCCCGTTACAATTTCACATTTTTTCAGTTTCTGCACTCACGGATCCATTTCGCCACATGTTTTTTCAGTTTCTCACTCACATATTATTTGTCGAGCGGCCGAATGGGGGGAGGGCAGAGTGCGGGAGTAAGTAGTACACATGGAACAGGAGAAATCACGCGAAAAGTCAACAAGCGGGAAAATTTTGCCCGCGCGCCGGAATTTTCTATGCCAAAGAGCCGCATTACGACCCCCTCCCGTCCTCTGCCAAGCAACGACCGAAATACGACCCCCTATGTTGTTTCAACAAAGATGCTGTTACCCTTAGCTCCGGCACACCCAGCTCGTCACTTCAAGGGCTTCTCTGGAAGAACTTTCTTCCAGTAACGGTTCTATACATTTTGAACGGCGAAAGTGAGGTGATAAGGAGAAAAACCAAAAAATGAGAACTCGTCCGACCACGTCCTCTCTTCGCCCTACGCATGTGAAAACTCGGTCCGGGCTCTATTTAGGGTATTTCGGTATTTCCCCACTACTGAGGCGCTATCTCCTAACCTTTTATAGTTGAGCCCCACAACTCACCAGCTTTGAGCGCAAGGTGTGCCTTCGATGCTGGTCGTTTGCTTCAACATGCAGCCTTCGTGATTCTGTACTAGTGCAAGTACGCAATTGCGGTCAAGACAATGCGAAAGGCGGGAATCAAGCGCACACATGGAAGGAACTGATAAGGCTTTTCCCCGAAGTTGTTCCAAAGAGCCTTTTTCCTCGCTCTCATGAAATGCATCTCCATTGTGCTAAACGGTGTACCCATTAACTTTCTTCTTTTCCAAGAATCAGGTCGCTTTCTCAAAACAAACCAACTTTTTCTTAGCAGATTCTTTCTTAATGAGCTGTGTTTCAGATATCTTCCTCTGCGTTTACATATTGGCAGGCAACCTCACCGATACATTGTCAATTTTCTAATATTTAAACCATGGAAGGTGAGGTGAGTCTTGCTTTGTAAGAATTCGATGCTTGCATGCCATTCAATCACTAAGATAAATAAGCTGCTTGGCTAATCCTTTTACTAATCCTTCACCATAAGAGCCCTCGTTACGAATAGTTCCCACCGACCAGAGTCATGACTCCGGTAGGTGTAGCACAGATGTTCTCATAACGGTTTGAGAGTCCTTCGGAGTCACCAAAACATTACATTAGTGCTTTACCTAAGTGCTATAATCACGCAAACGGTATGCATTTGTGCCTGCGAAGGTGGACAAAACTCAATATGAGAGTCTAGCGAAATGAAACATTCGCCTCTAGGCTCAACGTGAAGTGAGGCTCTGTTCTGAGAGCGGCGGGAAGGCGCAACTTCTGTTGTAGCGTCCTTTACCAAATCTTTATGTTATGGGGGGCGGGGCGCGGTTTCGACTGCTGGGGCCACACCTCTGTGTCCTTCACTTTACAAGACGGCTTCATGCTTAGAGCGCTGACGATAGAGGCCTCAGGAGAATCGCTCTCACAAATAAGGCCGAAGGTTGATGCAGAGAAAGAGACACCGTGGCGGCGCAGGTTTCCGCCCCCTGACGTTCGGCGTGACTTTAGGTATCTTGGGTGCCACGAGTTATAAAGCTTACTCTTTTTACCACTTTCTTTGAATGAACTAATATATTTAGTCGTCGAGTATCGCCGACATGATTCGCGATGCCGCGAACGAAGTGTTGCATTCACGTGTCCCGGAAGGATTCCAGTGGATAGAAGCATATGGACAGTACTACTCACCCAGTTGTGGATTCTTCTATGATCCGGTTTGTTTTAAAAGTCTTCTTAGGTGAATACATTTTTGAGAGGTCCATTTACACGCACATATGTTTCACCTTTACATTTTATTCTTACGTTTTTTACCCGATTCCCTACGTCTGTTAGCGCAGGTACGGTCCGCCATTTAATGTGCACGGCATCCAGGAAACGAATCTTGCCCATTTACGCCATTATTCTCTCAGGATTGATTACATCGCCCCAAGCTGATCCTGGGATTACAAAAACGCTCACTGGCTCCCGCGCAAGTCATCGGTTTAGGCCACGGATGCAAAAGCCTCTGCGATTCTGAATGGAACTAGTATGGGAAAACGGACAAGACAATCGTAATTTGTATCGCGCAAGGGTTACCTGCGACTATGTCCGACAACTTCTCGATCGGCATGGGTCTGTTGATTAGAAAAGCAAGTTCATATGAATTGAAGGAGAGACAAGATATCATGACGGACGGTGTAGAATCTCATCCTTTGACACGCTTCTCAACGGTCTGGCAGGGCAACTTGTCTTTCGTGCGCCCATCATCGCGGCTTATTGCAGTTGTATTGCCACATACTCAGCAGAATGCGTGTTGCTCTTTTCTTTTATCTTTCTACTTATATGTGCTACTGGGGATTTTTCCTCACGTAGCAATACCATCGAAGGAAATCTTGTGACTTTTTCAGAATACTGGACTTTTTTACCACAGCGACTCAGAAACCTATTATATATTCAACGACGATACCCAGCAATATGAAATATATAAATGCATGCGAAAAAGTAAGTTCTAATTGTATGATTGTTGTGAAAACTGATCTCCATGTTGCAGTTGCGCTGAGGGAATTGAAGGGGAGGCGGTCAAACTAGGCCGCCCATATTCGAGGGGGAGGCGAGAGAGCGAGGAAGTCTGCTGATAGGACAGGTCAGCGCGCACTGCCTTACACTACCCCTGGACAGCATTCATATAGCACGTTATGCTCCAAAAACGTGCTGCCATTGCAGTAGCGCTCCAGTGCTCGAGGTTCACAGACGGTAGTTGAGCGGTGCTGACCGCTAGTGCTTTGGGAGAGTATATACAGAAGAATGCGAGGGTATCAGACTGTGCTTAAGCAACGCGCAAACTCTTATTCTCCTGTATTTTCTAGCAACACTCGCGGCCGGCCGCCGATCAGTACCCATCTATGACTGCGGTGCCGTCTGTATGAGTGGAGCGCTACTGCAATTACTAGCGCGTCGCTCGCTCATCGCAAAGTCTGAACGCTGTGGTAGGTCACTGAGTGTCATTTCACTCAGACGAACTTCTGAACCACTGCATCCAATAGATTCTAGAGGGCTTCACATATTCCTAAATCTGTGTCTCAGGAGTACTGAAACTTCCGCATCGCAGAGCAGTACATTTGAGGTTTGAGAGCAAAGAGAACAGTGAAGTAAGCAGAGACTATGAGAATGTCACAGTGCTACTGTTAACTCATAGACTAGTTCTTTATTCATATCAATAGTGAGCGCTGACGATATTCTAATAATCGCCGCACGCCGCGATCACCTATGGACGCTAGATGGCGTAATAGATGACCTGCCCTTTATGGGCCTTTAGAAAAGGCTTTGCCTTCGTCCCGCTCAAACGGTTAATCGTAGAATATTTCATTTTCCCAGAATACATTTGCAATTCTTTTAGCCCAGTGGTCATCTCGTACGAATAAAAAGAAGGCAAAGCAGCTTTTTGCTGGAGCACTGGACCGCCTCGATCAGGATGCTGTCGACGTTTGCGAAGTTGTATTTGATCTCACGTCAAAACTTAGCTTAGAAGATGAGGATGCAGGTCCTGTACAACAAACACCGTCGAGCTCTTCTTCTCCGGTGAGATCTTCTCTTTTCTATTTTTCAGCTCTCTGTAATTTGATAGTTCGTGCAGTCATGATCCCCGCAAAAGATAGGGCGTATGAGAAGGTTGTGGATTGGGACGCAGCCGGGCGGATTTCTCACCAGTTCAAGCGGACTGATTGTGAGGATAACATCATTGCTGGAAGAGGCCCGCACATCTAACGCACCGCGTCATACGCGCTATCGTTTGTAGGGATCCTGAGTCATTTAAAGGCGTCCTCTCATCCCCCTTGTAAGGCTTAATTCGCGAGCTGGTGAAGTTAGCTAGACCTTCAATTTTGCCTGTAACTTTCGGTAGTCTTGATTTATTCAATAGAATATTTGAAGCAATTTTGTATTAGTTAAGACTTCCAATAGTTCTGATTCTCCCTTTTTCGGTTAGGAGTATTCAAAGCAGCAACGACAAAGTATGCAGCTGGAAAATAAACTGGCGCTCACTATGAAAAATCGGGCTTATCTAACACAGAACTCCCTTTTGGCCCAAAGAATCGGCTCACCCACCCCGCGAGTGTGTAATTTATTCCCAGTTGCGGCGGAATAAGCGCAGCAGATGTGGCGTGCTTAGCATCCACACCAGAAACCAGCCCACTCAACATGGCAGTGACGTCGATCGTACAATATATCTCCCAAATCAACTCGTACTGTAATGCCGCGACCGGGAAATATTCAAATCCCACCTTACAGCTCCTGATTCTGCTAGCCTCAGACAAAATTCCTTTTCCCTTTTTTTTCTGCTCAAAGGTGCTTCAAATGCCCAATCAACCCACCGGAATTTATACCTGAACTGCCTCAATAAGAGTCCTGACAGTGCTATTCAGAAAGCCAACGATAACCATGACATTGAAATGTGGCCTGTGGAGTACTTTGATGATGCTACAGGAGACATGATTTCTATACCGAAGGGAATTAGCCGATTCAAAGGTAGGTACCGAAAAATTTTCTAACTAGAAGTGTTCTTGATGTTTGGAGTTGTTCATTTAACTGCAAGCAGTTTTTAAAATATTTTGCTTGACTTGAGGAAGTAAAGAAAGGAGGAAGGAAAGACGACGGAAAGCTCGTGAAGCAGTCAAGAACGGTGTTGGAGGTGCAGATGCTCTTAGTGAGGAATATGACGAGAGCACGAGTGAAGAGGAGGATGAACGAATACAGATGAGGGAAGGTGGGAAACGTTTTGTCTTTCGTTGTTCCTTCTGTCCATTTAGTGGCCCTCAGTCTAAACTTATGTGCTCTTTACTTAAGTGGTTCACCTAACACGGAGCTCCTTCTTTTCAAGGCTTAGGCAAAAACCCTGATCTCTCTAAGTTCACATTCCTTTCTTCCTGCAACTAAGACGAACGCTTGTCGTGTTCCCGATGCTGTGGGTGCTCTGCATCAAAATGCTTCACATTGTTGGAATAGTGCCAGGTCTTTCTCCTTGTGCTATCATTTAGATGACGTTACTTTAAAGGCGCTAAAGAACTGGACTGTTCTACGCGGTAGCGCCACTGCTTCCCTAGCTAGCGTTCAGACTTATGCGCGGATTGTCAGGGTCGCCGTGGACCCAGGCAGTCTTTATGCAAATCTTCTCGCATGCTATGAAAGCGCGTTTATACTTGCGTCTTATTACGTTTTGAGCGTACGGCAGAGTGTTGATCTACTAAGAAAGTGTGGGTATCGACCTAACCGTTTGATATGCCAGCGTTACCTCCCTCAGGGAGGTATAGGTACCTCTAGCTCTTTGGGCGTACGCCGGCTTAATAACTAAATATAATTAGTCGCTCAGAAGAGTGTGGTACGCTCGAAACGGTGCCGCGAGAAACGCTGACGCGAAGTATATGCTTCCTGTGCTTTGACCTTGGTTATGGGAGAGACATAGAAGTGTTGCGTGGCCCAGTTAACAGCGTTAACACTACTTTTGAATTACTCAAAGAAGCCAGTTGTTAGAAACTTCAGATCACTACCATTTCAGATGAAAGGTTTTCCCAACCGCCTTGTCTACGAATCATGGATTCTAAAAATAATCTTCATGTTATTACTATTTGTGGAGGTGTCGTTGGAAGACAGTCGGGGTCTGATATTGTTGTCGATGATCCGTCCATTTCTAGGGTATGTTTTGTTACAAGTTAATGAATTCGTTCCTTGATGCTCATTTTACAAGCCTTCTTTCATTGGTCCCTTTCAGAAACTGCTAGAATTTGTATTTGTTTCGGAGAGTAACTCTTTTGTCGTGAATAAACTGAGCGACAAAGGACATGTTGAATTGAATGACTATGAGCTGTTGGTGAGTCGCTTCACTTTTATTTTTCTTCTATCGTGTATCCTAACTACCTATGATTTTCTTTTTCTTTGTCTTTTCTGTCCTTGAGAGTCCTTAGTTCCTACCTAATCAAATCTTTACTCTGGAAGACAACGTTCTGTGCTGCGAACGGAGTCGAGTCTATTGTGGTTATTCCACGTTTTTGTATAGAATTATGCGTCGTATATGAGCACCATTACACTATTACAGCCCCAGAACCTCAAAAAAAGTTGTAGTTTTGTCCGGACAGGTTACCTGGTACCCTGATTCAGGATTAGGCGTGCTTTTCTGTGTCACTAGTGTTCTTTTGTCAATCAAAATCTATGTACTCTTCATATCGGCAATCAGTCGGGGCGTCGCCTAAACGCACGGAATGAGCACACCTGCGGCGTTTTACCGCTGTTGTTCCCCCCCCCTCCCCCCAAAAAAACGATAGTTGTCGGTAACAGGTTGCTGGTAAACGGGCATCAAAGGTGGGTATTTCCTCTTTCCCTCTTGATACCGCTCGTCTGACGGCGACGATATCACCTATAGACTTACATAATAAAGCTCTTTTGGTGTCTTCAGTGCGAGCACGAAGATTGTTTTTGCTTATTGCTGGCGGCGTCGACCTGGTGACACAGCTGCTTTCTAATTCATTATGAATCTGCCTTCGTTCAATCGAGGGTCCTAGCTCTGAAAGTTTGATTCACGAATTGGCCCTCGCGAAGAGTGAGCAATCTGTCCGAAATGAGAACACTGAATCTCAGGCGATGATGCTTTTACGGAATTTTTTTTTCGTTTTTTGGGTTGTAATTGTTGAATGGTTGCATACCTGCTCGTTCCCCTTTCGATGATTCTTCGCAATTGTTCAGGCAAATGATGGGCGAGAGATTGAACATGGTGATATTTTAAGGTTTGGAAAAGAATTCTTACGGGTTCACGTCCACTTTGGTAGGTTCTGTTCACTTCTGTAATTTTAGTTGTTGTCAGTGCTAGCTCATGTCTTTCCATCACCTTCCACTTTCATTCAGGTAACAATACTTGTCCGGGGTGTGAGCAAGGACTTTTGTCAGCTGAGACGACAGCGGTATCACAATCAGTGACTGTTCCTCGTGGAGAGACTGCGCGGCGACGAAATATGAAAGCGCTTAAAGCTATGTATGGGATTAATGAATACGTGAGTTTATTTAGCAGTTCTCGTCTTGTTGTCGGCAACAGGGCTGAGTGACTCGTTTCTTTCGCCGAATCATCCTTGGGAGATCACAAATGGCCTTTCTGCGAGCGGGGCGCAGTAGAGCGGATATCATTGCATAAAGACGCGTAATCCACCTCAACTGCAGTCGCGCCGTTTCTTTTATGTAGTGTTCTTTTTCAGCTGTTTTGTGGAGCGGTCTTTATTTTCTTTAGAGCTCAGATTTTTTAAATTTTCTGAACTAAATACTCTCTTCATTCTACATCTTTTCTTTCTTTGATACTGCCACGCTATGTCGATTTCCGAACTGGTTTTTCAGGCAGAAAATGCACGAACTCCATATTATGGTCCGGATCGAGCCGCGAAGAGACGTCGTCTTGTTGGTTCGGAAATTGACGTGAATAAAGACGGAAGTAAGATTGACCCGAATGACATATATGCAGGATGTGCAGCGAAACCTGTACCAGGTTTGTTGGATCAATTTTTTTTTGAACTCTAGTTCAATTTTAAATGTTTTCTGCGTGACCTATAGCGAATGAACTCAGGAGCTGTTGTTGTGTCGAAGTTCGATCCGGTGAAACCTCTCAACGAAGCCAATAAAGGATTCCGCCTACTTCAGAGTATGGGCTGGAAAGAGGGTGAAGGCTTAGGAAAGGACGGCAAGGGACGTCAGGAACCGGTAAGTGATTTCTGACCTGCATAAACTTACATAACTGCGAAATTAGTGTAATTTTGAAAAAAAAGGTGTCCCTAAGCAATTCTAATTTTTCCCTTCCGTTTCTCACGGCCAGCCGTTTTTTGCCGTCCAGGGAATTTGTGCTCTCTTCTAGGTTGAATCCCCTGAGTATTTTACAAAGCGTTTGGTGGTAATCCTCACTCTGCAGTGGGGGTCAATATAGTGCTCTCAGCATGATCCCGGGGCCCAGCACATCTACTTCTGCGGATTGAGACAAGTATTTCCAGTTATGTAGTCCGGCACAAGGGCAAAAATGTTCCCCGCGTACAAGATTATAGGCTCAGAAGACAGGCGGTAAACTGTACCCAGAACTGGCGTGAAATTAACAATTCCATACAGTTTGCCGATTTCGCTACCTAGTGTTATATGCCTTTGGGGTGGGGAGGGGGGGGGACGCTCACTCCGCTTTTAACGTGGCCAGAGCTGCCTAGACGAAAGCTGAGTGGTGTTGTGTGCACTCACCGCTCCTACGCTCTCAGCTTCCTACGCAGTTTGAGGTACTGTATCCCGCCTATTTTCCTGAGCTTATAATTTAGTCCCTCGTATGGGCTGCGGGACGCCCCTAGAAGTCTTTCCCGTAGATCCAGCCAAAGTGAGAGCGCATGAGAGCTTTCTACAACCTTTCTCGAGTAACCCTCTAGGAGCCTTCGTTTTTTTTAACTTGTTCTACTCTATTCTTTATCATGCAGGAGGCAGTCTCGTTTCAGGTCGAATCCACTCTTCGCAGCGAACGGGCCGGATTGGGTGTCACTGAAACCAAACCTGCGCCACCAAAGAGCAAGAAGGCCGAGATTTTGGACAAGACACGGCAGCGTTATGAACAGGTGTGGAAATAGCTATTTTTGTAGTGATTTCTTCTTCATTTTGTTGCTTCGATGCGGACCCCTAAATGGGAACGTTTTCGTTTGCCTACTACAATCACCGCTCAGCAATTAGGTGAAAGTTCAGCTTTGCCGCGTAGACATGATTGATGGGTTATCATCACCCTTCAGTTTAAGTGAAACAGTTGCTGTGGCTACTGAGAGGCCAAGATTGTCCTTCATAGTTCTTTTCTTATTGACTTTTTCCAGTCAAGGTTGCTCAACAATGTCGATGGTGAACAATCCTGAAGCAGTGTGAATATTCTGATCATGTACAAAATATTGTAATAAGAAGCATGAAAATTTCGGATTATTTTGGGATTTTTGCAAAATATTGAATAATAAATGAAGTATTATAGTTTGGTTGTTTAATTGTATTACTGTAACACTGTATATAGTTAAAGCCGACCTGTACAGCCTCCAAAGATCTGGCCCATGCCAGGTGTGAGGTGAAAGGGTCCACAGCTGCAATAGCGAGCCACTTTCTCGGATCAAAATTGCGCGGAAACGAACTGGAGAATAATGGTCTCGAGTGCCCCCCCCCCGAATCAAGTGCGCCCCGCGGCGGTAGTTTATAGGCGTAACTATAGCTCAACGCGCTACTTGTGTGCGTCCTCCCACACTTCTTGCTCTCCGCCCCTGAGTGCGTGTTTCGCTGTGAGTTTTTAGTATCGACGAAATGCTATGCTCTTTGAGTGTAGCATTTTGGGCTGGTTCTGGAAAGGCACTCCTGGTAGCCCTATCAGAGAGTCGGATGTTGGGAAACCGCCAACGGCAGGACCGTGCTCCATGACTGGAGGAGAGGGAGGTTGTATTCGGGGTGGGGAAAAATTTTTCCGATTCTTGATTTTTTTTTTTAGTTTCTGACCCCCTAGTTGGTGGTGATTCAAAACTATTTCTTCCTCTTGTAGGATATGTCTCTCACCCCCGCCCCCCGCTACCTCTTCGTTTTCCTCAGCTCTGACAGCAGAATTTTGAAAGAGTCCGTAGATGGTCGGTCGGAAACTAAGGGCAGGGGGGGGTGTTCAGGAAAAATTCTCTTCAGTGCTAAGACGAACCTTGACTACTACATCGTCTACATCACCTCTCACTCCTGAACTACATGAGCGCCAAAGAAACTGTACTTTACTGAATGAATTGGGCCATTGAAATAACAGATCAGGCGGAACAGTAAGTTTTGAAGTTCTTGTCTAGGCCTGAGTTACAAAGTAGGGATATACATATACCTGTGTGGGTGATAATGAAAACTGATATAAAGGCACTTTGAAAACAAAACTTGGATATTCACCAAGAAAGTGAAGGAGAAGGGCCGAGATTTACTCGCAGCTTGGAGGGGAACCAGTCGCCAGCCCCTTCGAGTCCCTTCCCCTAATGAAGCCTAGGCTCACTAGGGTGACTATGTCTTCTAAGGGCTCTTGGTTCTTTATTTTGTGCTAGAGAGATACCGAGTGCAGGCGAATGGCTCCTCCCCCTCCCTCCCCTATCCCCCGCCACAACGACCGTTAGCTTTGAGTGAGCGTGAGTATTACAACAATTCCCTTCAGGAATTCCATTGTACATGTGGGTACTCAACAATATAATAACCGGGGGGGGGTCGACCGAGCAGCGAGGGGGCTATATGACCTGAAGAACTGCCATTGCGAAACAAAACCCACTTAGCCAAATGAGAAAATGAATTTTCACGAAAGCATGGTTAACCCTTCGTGGAGTTTTTTTTTCCTGTTGGGCTCAAGTATGTTAAAGGATTCTCAGATCCTCTAACCGCAGAGAAACCTCTGCATCTCTCCTCAGTTTGACTGGTGTTCAGTTTTGCGAGTGTCAGTGAAAGAGTCCAGTTGCGAATATGACCAAGGGGTTTCTCAGATCGCCATCTGCCGCCGATTTCTGAATCGATCAGGCTGCATCTTGCACAGCTAGAGACTAGACAACTAGAGAATCGGAAAGCGATATGTATAGATTTTGTCGAATCTGTCCAAGTAGAGAACCGAAGAATCTTCGGGAAGGGAAAGCATATCGACCTCTCTTTAGGTGGTGTTGCACTCTATACAACGTCTCAACATTCAAAGGGTTCTCAGATCGAGACATACCTCATCCTTCTCCCAAACTCACCGACTCTCCACTACTACACGGTTTGAACGCTTGCCTAGAAGGTAGGCAGCAGGCTGGCGTTTCGCGGAAAACAGAAACGAACGATCTACCTTGGTGCTTATGCTGCGTTGAAGGCGAGCCCTATAAGACACGTTTCGTAAAACAGCACACTCCCGCTTTGGATGTGCGCACCCCCTATTTATAGGAGTTTGGTCTCCAGTCGTTGCCATAGAGAGTCACGCCCAGGCATACTCAGTGTGCCCGGTATTTGTCACGCGGAGCCGCATATCCCATCTGCTGAGAAGAAACGTGCGGGGCCGAGGTGTCGACGTAACCATGCTTAAGGAGCCTCAACATGATAGACGACAAAGGGAGACTCGTTCGTGTTCAGCCCCTTTTTGGAATGCGTCACGTACTCTGCTTCCGTTCAAAATTGTGTTAGCATTCTGAATGCAATTTGACCTATCCAGTGCATTGTAGAGATCTACAAATAGCTGTTTTCTATCCTACTGGACTGGGCTAGCACCGGTTACTCGTCCGCAGCGGGATGGAAGGCTATATTCGGCAAGGTCTACCGGAATCCCACGAGCGGACCGTTTAGGTGATTCCGTCGGAGGTGGAAGAGGGTGTGAGGTGGTCAGTCAGTACTTTGGTCCTTCCAGCCAGCTTGATTTTTCTATGTTGACTTTGAGGAGATGAAAGACTTCGGTGTCTTGGAAGCGCTTGGAGCCATGAATCGCTTGATAGTCGGACGTCTTGACTCTGCGGAATGCCTAGCACCTCCAGGCTTCTGCCTCCACTCCTACATGAAGGGTCGTTGAAAGCGAAGAAGAGATTAAAGTTCACTGTTCGAATCTACCCTTTGTGAAAAATCCCGAAATTGTCGAGAAGGACGGACTTTGAAGCAGAAAAAAGCGTGTTTCCTGCTGGTCCGCGTGTTTTCTGCTGGTCCCCTTAGTTTGCAACCGCCGTTGCCTTCACATAAGTGACTAATTGCAGGTTCTTTTGCAGAGGCCGATGGCTTGATGACGAATAGCTGAGGAATGTTTCTCTTACGTCAGAGGACTTGAAATGTGGACCAATCTGATGCATTTGCTTTATTACCGCAATCAATGTGCTAGTCCAGGGTCAACGAGACGCTCTTAAAGCTTATTTCTACTGGTGGCACTCGGAATGGCACGTACCCTTGTCGCGCAAGAATATCCTTAACAGCCTCTCGTTGAGATCTCTCAGTAACTTACTTGTTGAAGCCATCAAACGTCGGAACTTCTGTGTCACTGAATTCCTGAGGTGGCACTCGGTGGGCCTAATAAGTCTAATCTAAAGCTAAAGCAGCTCTTGGCATGGGTTGGCCATCACAGTAACCACTGATGATTACCACAGAGGGGGAACTCCCCCTAACTTCGTAGAAAAAGCTTACCTCCGTTTTGTATTTCCGCGCCCCCCTACAACATCGCGAAACCGACTGTTTTCAAGGACGCGCAGGCTTTTTTCAAGGGTCCTAGATCAGTCAAAAAATAGAAGGCCTATTTGCGTCGGGCAGAAGTCCAAATGACGGCGCTGTTCGGCGACGGGGGGAGTGCTTTTTGCACTTCCGCAGCTTCACTAGTTCCGGTTCGCAAGTCCTCTGGTGAAACCTGTGAACTCTTGTGTAGCTGGAGCAAGCTCGTCCAGCCACCATGATGAAACCTGTCAACTCTTGCAAGGCTCTCTCGATGGCTAGACACGTCGACGGGAAGTGGCAAAAGTGCAAAATGCCCTCCCCCCTCGTCGCCGAACTGCGCCGAAACTGACCATTGCGCTACCTCTACTTTGTAGGAATTATTTGCGACGGAATCATCTGCCTCGGCGACATCCTGAAAATCCAAGATACGTTTGGGCTTGGTGGGGCGCATCAAATGGTACTGAGCGAAGCCTCTACAGAACACTGCACACGTGAAAGCACTTAAATTCCTACAACCAATGTGGCTCGCTTGCACCATTTAGCAGTTTCACAAGGGTTCACAGGTCTGACCAAAATAAGACCTGTTAGTTAATACGAACAGGCAAAAGGAATCAGCGAAGGTACAGAATGCCCCTCCCAAGCCCAACAATCTATTTTCCTATCGTGTCTGTCCGCTTCGAGGAGTCTTCCCGCGATTTAGAATGGTAAGAATGTTAAAGAACCGAAATGCTTGCACATGAATTCCCAGTTTTCTCTTTTGATTCCAGCTATCAGAAATGTATGTGTTCATTCTCTCACTGTTCAGCTATGAGCCTTTCTTGGTACAGGCTTGTTAGGCATTTATTCATTTGTGAGAAAGCTGCCCTCGCTTTTCCTTTTTCCGTCATCGAACGTTCTCTGAGCTGTTGAAGTTCTTCGCAGTGTGAATGACAGCATCAGGCAATCGATGGGCCTGCTCGCACTTTTTATATTGCAGCTAACAGATTGCCCCTCTTTCTCTGAAGTGTTGGGCTCCTTTCAGGAAAAAGTGTTCATGACGTGAGATTTACGCCTCGTGATGTCCGTAGGGTATTATAGGTTTAAATGAATAACTAAATTGTCAACTCTCCAATAAAGAAGTGAGGACAAAGGGGACTACTTAGCTGATAACTGACACCAATAATATAAGAACCATTTGGCGCTGTTCGGCTTGGAAGGGGCATCTGGCACTTTACTTCTTTGCCAATGAAAATGATTGCTCTTGCTACTGTATGACTTTACAGGATTCAACCAGATCTCGGCAGTGATCAGTGGGAACCGCGAAAATGCCCCCACCAAGACGAACTGCGCTAATTAGTGTCTCTAGGTTGAAGTAAGGAGACATTTCTATTTGGATTCTCTTTAAACGAATACAGTAGTTTGTCGGAAAGGACTGAGAGGTAAACGCTCGGCGGATGTAGTAAGCTGGCGTTTTGTCGAGCGCTTTCACAACCCCGCCCCCCCGCCGAAGACGAATTGGACAGTACGCAGACGCTGAGGTTTAATTTCAAAGGCGGAGCCAAGCCTGCAGTCATACCCTTTCCTTTACTACGCCCTGCTTCTTAAGGTAAAGAGTTTGAGCTGCGCCTCAGGGATAATGCCGTGATGTTCGTGTAAGGAAAAATTGGTTCCCACAATTTTCCTCGCGCTGCCAAGTCAGGCTGATCGGTTCTTTTTTCTGTTTTTCGGGCCAGCGATC